AGACAATTCCGTGTGAGTTAGAATGCACTTGATGGCAACTGGTCTAGATATTCGGAACCAAAACCAAACCCACTATTGTCCAGTCAGTGGCCACACACGGTTGACCCTGTACCCAGGTGTATGGCTCTGTTACCCAGAGCTGCTCTAACAGAAAAGCCATAAGTGGGTGACTTAACGCATGAAAGTTTAGTTTCTTACAGTTTCAGAGGCTCGAGGTCCAAATTCAGGGTGCCAGTTTGAGAGGAAGTCTTTTTCTCTCTCTGGGTCCTTGAGAAATGTCTTTGTCTCTTCGCCTTTCACTTCCTGGCTCCTTGGAGATCTCCACTTGTCTTGGCATTTGTTTTACCCCAAATCCTCTCTGCTGGATTGCTTCATCTCTTTTTTTTTTCTTTAAAAGGGATTGGTGCAAAAAAATTCCCTACGCTAATCTGCATAACTAGCATCACAAAGACAACACATTCCCAAGTGGAATTAGAACCGCAGGCATAAATGAGTTAGGATTTACACCACATTAGCTGTGGGCTAATGCGTCAGACTGCAAAGTCATTTGAACTGCAAGGTTGGTGGTTCAAGCTACTCCTCAGAAACCCTATGTTGTTGTTGTTGTTAAGTGCCATCGAGTCGGGTCCGACCCATAGCGACCCTGTACAGGGTTTCCGAGGGTGTAAATCTTTACGGGAGTAGAAAGCCTCATCTTTCTCCCGCGGAGCGGCTGGTAGTTTCGAACCGCTGACCTTAAGGTTCGCAGCCCAATTCGTAACCACTACGCTACCAGAGCTCCTTCAGAAACCCTATACAGGGTCACTATGGGTAGTTTGTGGTTGTTGTTATTAAACACCACACCGTCTAGTTGATTACAACCCATAGTGACCCTGTACAGAAACCCTATACAGGGTCACTATGGGTTGTAATCAACTAGACGGTGTGGTGTTTAATAACAACAACCACAAACTACTCATTCAGGTTCACCAGCCACTTTTAGGAAACCCTGTACAGGGTCACTGGGAGTTGGAACTGATTCTATGGCACTTAACAACAATAACAACTACTCATTGGCATCAAATTGAACTCCACTCACAGTGACCCTATAGAGGACAAAGCAGAACTGCTCCATAGGGTTTCCAAAGCTGTAAATCTTTACAGAAGCAAATTGCCTCATCTTTCTCCTGCAGAGTGGTTGATAGGTTTGCACAGCCCACCTTTCCGGTTAGCAGCTCCAATGATTAGCCCATTGTACTACCAGAGGTTTTGTTATTTAGTCCAGGGATGGGGATTGTTTGGCCCTCAGGCTGTATAAGGCCCATGAGATCATTTGGTCTGTTCCTGCCAAGGCAATTGCAGTTCCAACCATCACATTTTATTGTTATTGTTAAAAACCATGAGTTGGTTCCAACTCATGGTAACCTTGTATAGGCATTCTGAGGAGCGGCTGGAGAGTTTGAACTGCTGACCTTGTGTTTCTAAGGATCTGTGGTCCAGCGTATTATCCCAAAGTGCCACACCAGGATTCCATCACATTAGGGGGGAACTAATAAATGTTTGACCAAATATAGCAGGCTAGTTTTTTGTTTTTTGTTTTTGATAAGTAAATGACATCACTTACTTTAATGCAATGATGCTGAACATGTAAAATAATGAAGAGATGTTTGTGTTCCCTGTGTAATACATCCATTCACAGAATTGGCCAGTACTGTGTATAACACATAAATGCATGATAAAACATTATTAGAGGCGCATATAACATATTTACAGAAGCCAAAACGTTCACTTTATATATCCAGTAATTGTTGTTGTTGTTAAGTGCCATAAAGTCAATTCCGACCCATAGTGACCCTATATAGGGTTTCCGAGGAGCAGCTGGTGACCTTGAACCGCCAACCTTGTAGTTCAAATGACTTTGCTGTCTGTCGCATTAACCCACACAGCACTACACCCCCATATCCAGTAGTTGTTGTTGTTGTTGTTGTTACGTGCTGTGGAGTCGGTTCCGACTCATAGCGACCCTATACAGGGTTCCCGAGGCTGTAACCTTTAAGGGAGCAGAACGCCTCATCTTTCTCCTGTGGAACAGCTGGTAATTTCGAACTCTGACCTTGCAGCTCGCAGCCCGGATTTGTAACCACTACGCTACCAGAGCTCCTTATATCCAGTAGTAGAGAGTTAAAAATATAAAAATAAGAAACACACACTAATTTGAAATGTAAAATGACTCTCATGTACACAGGTGTGTGGAGATGCCCATTTCCATAGAGTGCAGAGTGACAGGGAGCATATGGTGTCAAGTGGAGGAATCCACCTGCCCAACTTCGGAGCCTGGGACTTCAAGGTCTACACATGGCGTTGTCATAGGAAAGACACCACCATTACCTTGCCACTTTGTCCAGGTAAGTCTATTCAATGTTCCAAGAGATCCTGTGGGCCAGGAGCTAGTGCGGAGACTCCAAATTTGCTTTAGTGGTGGAGCTAAAACTCAAACCAAACCTAATAACTGGCAAATGGCTAAATTGTGACTTTGTAGTCAGCAGCTGCCCCAGGGTCCTGGTGGGCAATGATGGGACCCTGTGCTGGCCACTTTCCCAGCGAAGTAGCAGAAGAGAAGCGGGCCATCGAAGACTGACATTTCTATTCATTTCAGGTATGTTAATTCCCTTGGGCTAGGTTATAACCTTTTTGCTTCTGTTTCAAGTCCCTCTGGGTGTCATGCAGGCTCCCAACACCATACCAGGCTCAGATGTCTGAGTTAAGAACTTGGACTGGCTGGCCTTGGCAGCCCCATGGGTCACCCCAGAGGGTTGATCATTGATAGAGAGGCTTTAGCATTGTAAATTTAAGGGGGAGGCAAGTGTGCTCTTACCTAAAGAGACAGAGATCAATGATATTCTGTATACAAATTTAAGATAAATCATTATCAAAATATACACTTTCTCCCATGGCCATATTTATTCTCTCACCACAAGGCACAATACACAGAGCTTCGAGGGCCCGATACAGTCATCGTGATAGAACACACCACAGCCTTGGCACATGATCATGGCTTTCACACTGCTGCTGTCGGTGAACATTGGCAGGGAGACGATGCGCTGTGGCTCACACCAGAGTTTGTGGCTCAGCTGCAACCAGGCTTCCAGTAAGGCCTTTGGGAAAGGTGGGAGAGCTGGAGGAATAATTGAAGCTGGTGGAACGGAGTTGGAGTTTAGAAAGCTTCCCATAAAATGTCTGCTTGATGTTGACTTGGGAAGGAATGGAAGAAGGCTCCAGAGATTGACTGAGCCCTTTCCCAGGCTCTTGGGGTAACTTCAGAAGGACAGGTCCATGAGAAAGGGTATCCCTTACATCAGGTTCAGAGGACTATACCCAACTACCATTCTGTTCTCTGCAGTCATCTGGAGGGGGCCACTGTAAAAGTCTTCTCAGTCTTGATGCCACCAGTGGAGACAGGAGGTGGCTTAGGAGCCCCTTCTTTCCTTGCAATCTGCAGCCCACCAAACACAGAACTTTAGCTTTGCTCCAACTCCCCACTGGGAACCACTGAGAGAGCATGGGCAGTGAACAAAGTCAGGCCCAGGAGCCTGGGGCACTGAGGGGTTGCAGTCACATTCCTAGAGCCAAAGATCTTCCCTTAGCCTCTCACACTGTTCAGAACTCCTTGGGACTGACTTGCTTGATCTGAACCAAAGGAGATGGCGTCTGGAGGTAAGAAGCTGGGGGCTCTCCAGGTAGTGAGTGTCCCTGGGTTTCTGTCCAGAGCAGCACTGGATTTACAGACAGATCCAGGGTTTACTTCTGATCTTCAAAACTGTTTTTCCTTTTTCAAAACAGGAAGAGAATGATTTTTCCTTTTTCAAAACAGGAATCCATTTTTTTCCAGTTTCTCAGAAGCAGCCATTGGGTTTATCACTGCATGTAGGGAGTCGAAACTTGGGGCTTTCTTTTGGGGAACTTTTGGACCATGCCAGGAGCCTGGGTGGTCTCTAGCCCTGTGAGGCCAGTGCTTGTTTCATGGATCTTGGGCAGAAGAACCGTCTGCAAATCTCTCGAAGAACTGTGGTTGCTTTGGCCAACTGTGCAACTGTCTTCCGGTCTTCCCCATGGCCAGGCACAGATCCTATCCCCAAGGGGCCACCATGGCTCGGCTCTTTTTTAAGTGGTAGTTGAAGGGAGGGGCTCACTTAGGACAAAAATCCAAAAAATGGACACATGAGATAATTCACATTTTAAACATCAAACATGATACATTTCTCACATAGGAACTAGTGGTTTTTGTTAAATGCTGTCAAGTCGTTCCGACTCATAGCGACGCTGTATAGGGTTTCTGAGGACCAGCTGGTGGGTTTGAACCGCTGACCTTGAGGTCCAGGGCTTATTCTTCAGCGCTTCCAGGGCTCCAGGAAATGGTTGGTGGTTGTTTTTTATTAATAATTTGTTGTTGTTGTTAAGTGCCGTGGAGTCAGTTCCGACTCACAGCGACCCTGTACAGGGTTTCCGAGGCTGTAAATCTTTATAAGAGCAGAAAGCCTCATCTTTCTCCTGCGGAACAGCTGGTAGTTTCGAACTTTTGACCTTGAGGATCGCAGCCCGATTCGATTCGATTCGATTCATAACCACTATGAAACTTTGCATCTCTTTGCGTAGTCCGGCTCATCCTAGAGAGAGCACTGCCATCCTGTGGTTGAAAATGATGACTGCAAGACTCGGCTCCGGGTGTCTTCTTTTAAGGACTCAGGAATCAGGTTTCCTGTTGCTGTTGTTAAGTGTCATGAGTTGGTTCCGATTCATAGGCCCCTGAATAGGGGTTCCAAAGGATTGGAGTGAGATTATTAATTTCCACACACTAATTTTGCTAGTACTTGAAGGCGGAGCAAGTCCCCGGGAAATCCCAAAATAAGTATTTAACAGGAGGGTGGGACTGAGGTGCGGGTAAACTACAATTCCCAGCATGCCCGAGAAGGCGGGCCCTGTTGCTGCGCAGACCCATGCGCGCGGTGATCAAGCGCCTCAGCATGGCGGTGTTTGCTGATTTGGACCTGCGAGTGGGTTCCGATCTGAAGCTTCTGCGCCGGCTGGTGGAGAACGCCGCTCACCGTGAGTCGGCCGGGTTTCACGGGTTGCGGGGTCTGCCCAGTTTCGCTTCCCCCAAGACTGTCGGGCTTTGCTCGGGAGGGATCCGGCAAGACCATGCCTCGTTCCGGCTTCCTGAGATCTCTGGGATGTCTGTCCCTGAGACTGATACCTGTAGTCGTGGTCTCCGATCCCGTACCTTCCTCATTGGAAGGGACCGGGCTTGGGCGGAGCGGGGAGGGATTTCCTCTGCAAATTGGGGATTCTGAGGTTCATAAAGGGCAAGGATTTGCATAGGGCCACACCGCTGCTAAGTGGCAGAAACCGGGGTTGGACTCCCAATTATTGTTGTTGTTAAATGCTGTCGAGTCAGTTTCCGAGGAGCGGCTGGTGGGTTTGAACTGCCAACCGTGCAGTTAGCAGCAGCGCAGTGCTTATCCTAGTGTGACTTCAGGACAGTTTCTTAGCCACCCTGTCTCAGCGAATTGGGGAACTTGGGACAGATAGGGAATGCTGTAAGGACTGAGAAAAGGGGGAGAACCTAAATTGTGAGGGATGAAACAACGGAGTTTAGTGAGAGGGGGGAGGGCAGAAGACATACTTACTAGGCAGGGGGTGGGGGACATAGCCAAAATGTGAGAATGTTTCCTCATGGTCCAAAGGAAGCGAAGACCCTAAGAGATGAGACCGCCGTTTTAATCATTGCGTTTACAGATGGCTTGTCTTACTTTAGCTGTAAAGTGGTGGAAGAGATAGTTGTTGTTTTGTTAAGTGCCATCAAGTCGGTTCCGACCCATAGCGACCCTGCGTGGGGTTTCCAAGGAGCTTGAAGTTCAAACGGCTTTGCAATCTGGCGCATTAACTCACAGCGCCACACCAGGACTCCTGGAAGAGCCAGGAAGAGACAGTGGTGGTTGGTTTTGTGGAGTCGGTTCCGACTCATAGTGACCAGTACCGAAGCTGTAAATCTTTATGGGAGCATCTCCCGTGGAACAGTTGGTAGTTTCGAACTGCTGACCTTGAGATTCACAGCCTGATTCATAACCAATATGCTACCAGAGCTCCTTGGAAGCGATAGTAGAGAGGTTGAAAGAAGAGGTTTCTGCAGTAAGACCTCTTTCTTAGAGATTTCTCAGCTCTTAGTGAGAGCGGATGCTGATGCTTTTGAGGTGATGCTAGATAAAACTGCGCCTTAGTAAAGGGTTTTTTTGGGGGGGGGAGGGGCTTTTATAACGTTTAGTGAGTGTAGTCCATTCTGACTCATAGAGACCCTGTATAGATTTTACCAGAAGCGGCTGGTGGGTTTGAACCACTGACTTACAATTAGCAGCCCAGTGCATATCCTATAACATCTCACCAGAATTCCACCTTTGTGAGGTAGCCATAGTGAAATGATTCTTTCCATTGCAGCCACTAATTAGCATTGTCTCTCTGGGACCTACTTAAAGTCATCTGTAAAAGGGGTTCACATGATGCCTAAAGACCTTTAGCATTTATATGCCCTGATGGTTCATTTCAAATGAACTTTTGAGGGGGTGTAGCTCTTCTCAATGAAGCTTCTCCTGATGCCATCCCCTTGCAGAGTATATTTTGAACTTCCCGAGAGAGGGCATGTCTGATATATATTTCCTATGCCCAACAAAGCAACAAGGGTGCCTGCAATTATTCAGTTACAGCTTGTTGTGACTGTTGAATTTTTCTTTTCAGTTGGCTATTCAGTTGTTGCCATCAATCATGTTATTGAATTTAAGGAAAAGAAACAGGTCAGTTAAAAATATAATCATTTGTGTTTATATATGGGTCATATAGAGACTATTGTTATTTAGTGCCATCTAGTCAGATTCGGCTCACAGTAACTCTGTATAGGGTTTCCCAGGATTAGCTGGGCGGTTTGAATCTCCATCCTTGTGGTTCAATCCAACCTTGCTGTCGAGTGCTGAGTGCTTATCCGACAGTGCCGTACCAGGACTCCAGTGCTCCTCTGTAAAACAGAGACTACAGATGAGCACATTTCCTATGAGCACTTTCTTTGTGCATTGTTAGTTTCTTATCTTATGTGTTAATAGTTGGGAGCGGCTTTATATTTGTGCAAATGATAGACATTTTTGTAAAGTACTACTGCATGGTACAATTCATAAAGTTGATTTGATATTTATTAAGTTGCTTTTAATAGTATTTTTAAAGTGCTTTTTTAATTGATTGAACTGTAATCACAATACTTAGCCTTTTTATTTTATTGTCATGAACCCATTAACTAATTGATTTCACTCTTAAGCCTCTGGTAAATATGTATGTTTTCTTTTTAGGCCAGCAGCTTTATTGATTAGATTACCAAATGCTGATTAGATTATTGCTAGATTTTTTTTTTTTTCTCCCCCTCCCCATCCACAGCTTTAAAACTATTTTTCATCCTTTCTGTTGTGCTGATATTGTTAATTACTTCTCTAGTTTTCATCCTAAAACAAAAGAAAAGAAAAAGCTTTAATTTATCTGAATACCAGAAATTTACTTTAAAAAACATTTTTTTCCTCCTGAAAACCTTGTATCCATAATGTTTTGCCTCATTAGCATGCACAATTCAGGTTGATTGTTTAGTATTTGTTGCAGGAAATCGAAAAACCAGTAGCTGTTTCAGAACTCTTTACAACTTTGCCAATTGTACAGGTAGGTGTTTACAAATATAATACCCTGTTCATTCAGTTCAGACACACCCAGTGATGTGTGCTAGTCTCTAACCTGGCTCCAGCAGCCTTGCCTGGGACCAGTCTTCCACGTCTCTCAAGAGTCAGCTCTTCCATGAAAGTCTCTTACTGTAGATCTGGTACTTCTTCCCTGAAGTCCTGCAATTTTTACATTATCTCATGTAGTTTAACATGTATACATCCGGTTTTTTCTTTAGCTCTGTTATCTGTTCCTTGAGGACAGGAGCTAGTTTATTGCCCTTCAGTATTATTTATAGCTGTTATGTTTTAATGAGTACTTTTTACTGATAAGGAAAGTCAGTTCTTTGTGCATTTTTTTTGATCATCCATTTTACTTTTAGGGGAAATCAAGACCAATTAAAATTTTAACTAGACTGACGATTATCATATCAGATCCCTCTCACTGCAATGTTTTGGTAGGTTATTTTTCTACTCTCTTTTTAGCCCTGTACAGTGTATTAATTAATGTTAAATGGTGTGGCTTTTTACCTCCCCCCTGTATGACACCTGCCCTACTCTTCCTGTCTTTAGAATTGTCATAGCCGAACAGATAGCTTGTTCTATTCACGGTACATGCATAGTGATACCACAGTTAAAGAATCCTTTGGCAACTGCTAGTCAATCTTCAGTTCACATGTGCCAGTCGTAAAGCTGGGTGCTGGGATCTTGCTCTTAATAATACAGACACAGTCCTTGAACTTACAAAGGTTATAGTCTAATTGGCAGGAGAAGAGCTTAACAAATAATAATTACAAATGTAAGTTGTTTGAAAAGGGGAGGAGCAGTAAATAAAGGATACTCTGGGAGTTTGTAGCAGGAGAGCTACCTTGAGGAAGTTGTTCAAATTGGGGCCTGAAAAATCAATATTGACATCTCAGTAAGAAGCAGAGAAAGATGTTCCCAAAGCACTTTTGGAGCATGCAAAGTCTTGAGACAAGGAGCGCATGATGTGATTTGGAAAGCAGGTTGAGCCTAGTGAGCAGGAATACCAGTGGCAAACTGAAAGTGTTGAAAGATTGAAATATAACTAATTATTCAGTGGATTTCCATGTATACATTTTCTGTTTCTGTATGATAACTTTCTTTGTGTATTACCAGAGAGCAACTTCTTCAAGAGTTCGCCTGTATGATATTGTTGCTGTTTTTCCAAAGACAGAAAAACTTTTTCATGTAAGTAACTGTGATGTAAAAGAATACTGCTTATGATGTTGTTGTTGTGTTGTGCAGTTGTGTTGGTTGTGACTCATAGCGACCCTGTGCAGGGTTTCTGAGGAGCAGCTGGTAGGTGTGAACTGCTGATCCTACAGTGCCACACCAGGAGTCCACCGTTTGTAATATTGTGTTAAGAAATCTAATGCCATTTCTTTGGTTGGTGACCTGTTTCTGCCCCCTGTGGAACTTTTTATAATTTTTTATTTCCCCTGGAATTTTGAAATTTCACAGCGATATATTTCCCCAGCATATGACAGTATGGTCACATTAGCTTTTAATCTAGAAATTTTTCAGAATCAAACCTCTGCTGGTCCCATCTACCTCCTGTTCTAGATTTAATTCCTTTTGTACTTTTGAAATTCGAGTTCAGTGACTTTTCAGATGGAAAAGACATTTAATATGTATGCTTGTTCACAAACTTGAGACACTCCCTAGACATTTGAAATACAGTCAGCTGCCTTTTGGACTTGAAGCATCTGCACGTGGCAGAGTAGAACGGCCCTAGAAGGTTTTCTAGGTTGTAATCCCTGAGAGCACATCAGCAGGTCCTCCCGTAATGTCACTGGGTGGGTTGGAAACACCAGCCTTTGTGTTAGCAGCTGAGTACCTACATTTGTCACCACCATGTTAAATGCTGTTGAATGGATTTCAACTCCTAGTAACCCTGGATAAGGTTTCTGAGTAGCAGCTGGTGGGTTTGAGCCTCTGACCTTCTTAATAGTCCAGTGCTTAGTCTACAGTGCCACACCAGGACTCTATCGTAGTAAGGTGGGTTTGGAAATCAACTGGATTGCAGTTTTTAAGAAATATGTTTTACTCTGTAAAGTGAGGTACAACTACTTTTAGAAAATTCTCAAAGTTTATTATATAGATTCAAAAAAGTTTGCATCTGACAAAAGAATATTTCAGGAAAAAAAATGAATGTACTGGTCTTTGATGTTTTAATTTTACAACGTTGTTGTTAAGGGCTATCAGGTTGGTTCCAACTCATAGCAATTCTTAATAGGGTTTCCAAGAAGTGGTTGGTGGGTTTGTACCACCGACCTTGTACTTGGCAGTCCAGTGTTTATCCTACAACACCATACCAGTTCATTTTATCATAGTTTATGTTTAAGCAGAATCTGTAGGAAAAGCACTAGACTGCTAACCATAAGGTCAGTGGTTCAAAACCACCAGGGTTTAAAACTCTATAGGATCGCTATGAGTCTGAATCCACTCAGTGGCAGTGTTTTAAGGGTTGTAAAATCACAGAAAGATATATCCCAAGTTTATCCAGTAGATGGAGCAGTTGAGTAAGGAAGCTGGTTGTGGTAAATTTCGTTTCCAAAGCAAATTCAACTCTACTGTTTTTGGACTTCTGCAAAGTCATTTTGAACTGCAAGGGTGGTGGTTCAAGCTCACCAGCCTCTCTTCAGACATCATATACAGGGTCACTATGAGTCGAAAGTGACTGGACGGTGCTTAACAACAACGATATTCATATTATATTGAAATACTTTAAATATTACAAAGATTAAGTTATGTCTAATATCACTTTGTTATTGTTGTTGTTAAGTGCCATTGAGTCAATTACAACTCATAGTGACCCTGTGTAGGGTGACTGAGGAGCAGCTTTGAACTGCCGACTTTGCTCTTCAGATAAACCTCGTAGTCCAATACATTATCTTGCAGTACCACACCAGGATTGTTGTTGTTGTGTGCCGTGGAGTCGGTTCCGACTCATAGCGACCCTATACAGGGTTTCCAAGGCTGTAGATCTTTACGGGAAAAGAAAGCCTCATCTTTCTTCTGCAGAACAGCTGGTAGTTTCGAACTGCTGACCTTGTGGTTGGCAGCCCAATTCGTAACCACTACGCTACCAGAGCTCCTTACACCAGGATTAGTTCTTGTTTTATAATTTAAGTATAGCAGGTGAACATTTGGATTAATGGAAAACAAAATTCAAAACGAATTTCATTGTTGTTAAGTGCCGTGAAGTCGATTCCAATTCATAGCGAGCTTGTCCAGGGTTTCTGAAGAGTGACTGTTGGATTTGAACTGCCAACCTTGCAGTTCAAACTGACCTTGCCATCTAGTGCTTATCTTGCATTGCCAGGTCGGAGAGGGCCAAGTAAAGCTGCTCTTGGTAATTAAGAGTTATTATACTGTGTGTGCTTAAGCCAACACAAGAGATATTTTAACTTGTCTACAGTTATATACGAAAGGTGACAGAGAAGCAAATGTATAAGGAAAAAGTAGTGTAACTTAGCTTTACTGAATGTTTGACAGTTTCTTTTTTTTCAATCAGTTTTTTATTGAAAAAGTGGGACTTCTGAGGATACAGGAGTAAGTTGTGACATTTCTGTCACTGCTAGGGGTCAAAGTTGATTCTGCAGGCCATTATTACTCCCTTTTATCCCTTTTTCTTTTCACCGGTGTGTGTTTGCTGTCACTAGCCTATTCATACTAACTTTGTTCACTAGCCTATACATACTAACATTGTCAGGTAAGTTTTTTTTAATACAAAACAGCTGATCTGTTTTGTATTAAATCAAATAATGTCAATGTCAAAGCCAGATATACATTGTTTAACAGTGCCTCTGGTGTGGTGCTGTAGGATCAGCCCTGGACTATGAGCCATAGAGTCAGCAGTTCAAACCCACCAGCTGCTCCTTGGAAACCCTAAACGTGGTCATTATGAATTGGAGTCAACTCAGTAGCACTTAACAACAGTGCCTTCTGGCCTTACTCTAGTGAGGTGATGCTAGTAAGCTTTCCGTAGCATCATTTTATATTCTTTCCCTGATTTTTCTGTTTGCCCTGACTTATTTGTGTGTTTTCTCTTGTGTGTATTTTTTATAAACCACTTCAAATCTCCTTTGGAAGGAAATGTAGATTATTGATCAACGAGTAATAACAAACATTAAAACAAATGACGGGGAAATTAATAGGTGAAAAGATTCATTCAGTATCATTCAATATGTAAACCCTCTGCTTTTGTTGTTGTTGTTGTTAAGTGCTGTCGAGTCGGTTCCCACCCACAGTGACCCTGCATAGGGTTTCCGAGGAATGACTGGTGAGCTTGAACCTCTGACCTTGCAGTTCAAATGCCTTTGCAGTCCAGCACGACAGTTTCCATTAGTATTGGCGCAAAGGGTCCCTGATAATGCTGTCAGTGTTTTCTCAGCCACACAATAGACTGTTTGGGGCTCTAGACCAAGGCCAATTCCTACCACTAAGGAACTCAGTAAATAATTTCTAGAATACACATGCCATGTATGTATTCCTTTTTGTTTGTATTACAAGAGTTTCTGGAACAATCTGAAGTAGCCTTCCAGAAACCAAAGTTCACTCAGCAACCCATCTTTAGCAGTGTTGTTGTTAAGTGCCGTGAATTGGCTCCAACTTATAGTCACCCAATATAAGGTTTCTGAAGAGCAGCTGGTGGGTTTGAATTGTCAACCTTGTGGTTCCCAGTCCAGTGCTGACCCTACAGCACTGCACCAGAAGTCCTCTGTAGTGGTGGTGGTGATGGTGATGTGCCGTAGAGTTGGTTCCGACTCATAGCGACCCTGTACAGGGTTTCCGAGACTGTAAATCTTTACAGGAGCAGAAAGCCTCATCTTTCCCGCGGAACAGCTGCTAGTTTCAAACTGCTCTCCTTGAGGTTCACAGCCCGATTCATAACTGCTACGCTACCAGAGCTCTTCTCTTTAGTAGTGAGTTTCCCAAATAAGAGGGTCTGTTGAGGTCCATGGTCATACCACTCTGCTTTAGCCGGGTCACAATTAAACCAGTGAAACCCAGCCTCAAAGAATGGCTAAAAACTGAAATTCACAGAGGCTCAGATGTATTTCATCATGAAACCATCATGACACCTAAGGAAACACCTATTTATGTTTCTTTACATCAGGTTTGACCCTGTCTCCCTGTCTTGTTCTAGTTTTCCTTTGGGGTTGACCAATTTTTTTTCCTACTTCTTAACAGGTTGCTTGCACACATTTAGATGTGGATTTAGTCTGCATAACTGTAAAAGAGAAGCTACCATTTTACTTCAAAAGGCCCCCTATTAATGTGGTAAGTATTATACTTCTCATTCTAGATTTGAGTTGATAGAATCTTGCAGTAACAAGTTGGAAACAGGGCAGAAGAAACCAGTGTTCTTAGAGGAAAAACAAAGGCAAGATAGTAAGGGATAGTTTTAGTGCCAATGGTGTTCGTCTTGTACAGCTGTCTTAGAAGGAAAACGAAAGCCTCAACTACAAAACAGCCAGGAAATTATTAAGATGTTGTTGTTTGAAAGGCCTCAGAAACTAAAATGCATCGAGGCTCTTTTCTGAAGAAGAAATGATGATAAGGATGGGCTCTTAAAGCCAGAACATGGGGAAGCAGCAATGAAGAAAGGATGAGGAGGAAAAACCGTGTAAAGTGTTCTTGAGACCCCAGCGAGCTGATGTGGGAGCAGGACGTGGAGCTCACCTGTGAAATGAAACTGCTGCGTCCGGACGCCCAGGTCTAGCTCCATAATAACCTGAGAGGGAGCCAGGCGTTCAGTGAGCTTTTGGTTCCTCCTTCTGCTATAAAATGTTCCTTGTTTTTCTTTCGCATTGTTTTCTTTACCCTTGGTCTTCTGTCTGCCAGCCTTCCTGTGAGTCTCATTGTCCTCCCATTTCCATCATTAAGGTGATATTATTTCTCATCAGTAACTATTTTGGTAACGGTGAGGTCAGCACAGCTGTTTATGCATCACCAGCCAGATCTTGGGAAGAGTTAAGATGTTATTTTAGAATTGTTAAGTGCTGTCGAGTCAGTTCCAGCTCATAGCAACCCTGTATAAGGTTTCTGAGGCTATAAATCTTTGCAGGAGTAGAAAGCCTCATCTGTCTTCCATGCGACAGCTGGTAGATTTGAACTGCTGACCTTGTGGCTAGCAACCCAACAGGTAACCCACTACACCAGCAAATCATTGTTTTTCCTGTGTTATTGCTAATACTTATAAATCAGTGAGCAAGAAAATAATCCCAAGCTTTTGTGTCTTAGAGTTTGAGATCTATGTTCAAAAACTCATTTATCAAATGTGGGAAAATGGAAGCTAGTAAGGTGAAGCTATTTATAGTCTTTCAGTCGCAGAGTTCCAAACCAAACCAAATCACTCTTTTTATGTGGATTCCAATTTCTAGCAAGCCTATAGAATAGAGTGTTACTGCTGTGTAGGGTTTCCAAGACTGTAAATCTTTATGGGAGCAGACAGCTTCATCCTTCTCCTGAAGAGCGATTAGTGAGTTTGAACCGTCGACCTTGCCATTAGCAACCCAACACTTTACCCACCATGCCACTAAGACTCCTGGTGACAGGATTATGGAGTCAGCAAGATTGTCAAAACCTTGGCTGTTAGGTTAGTTTGTGACTTTTCTTACAGGTGCCTGAGGCCGTCAGAGATCTCATCTGACAGGGAATTTGACTATGAAGTCCTTCTGGCACTGTGGTTTAGGCACTGGACTGCTAAACACAAGACTGTCATCAATATGAGTTGGGAACACCTCGATAGCACCTAACAACTACAACCACCATCCTAGTCACAAGGTTCCCCTAAGCCTACTACCCTGGAGCTGATTCCAACTCATAGTTTCTGTAGCTGTAATCGTCATAGTGGTTGGTGGGCCTGAACCACCATCCTTACAGCTCCACCCACGTTCCTTAGTCAAATTCCTGCCAAATGAGATCTCTGATGTGCCCCAGGTACTGTGCTAAAAGCCATGAATGAACTCAGTATCCAAGAGGTAGGTAGCTCTCTATGTCCCGGTCAGTTTTCTTTACGTTGATGAGTGCCGTCGAGTCTGTTCTTACTCATAGTGACCCTGTATAGGGTTTCTGAGGTTTTGAACCACCGACCTTGTGGTCCAGTGCCAATCCTACAGCGCCACACCAGGAGTCCAACCTCAAACTGATTCTATTTAAATGGCGCCCCCTGGAGTTAGGCAGGGGATCCACTCTGCAAACTGCCATCAAACTTAACTTTTTTACCTTTCTCTTCACTTTCATGAACTAGGAAGGCCATATTCTAGACAGCTTTGCCTGGGTAAACCCACATACAATACTGTGCGCCCAGTTGGGAGGAACTAGTAGCATATGATGCTAAGGATGAGTCCATGGACTGGGCAGCAGTGTCCAGCACATGCTTCCCCCTGTGCCACCACACTGGTCGGATCACCTGTGGCTGTGTGATGAGGGTTTTCAGTTGGGTTTCTCATGAACATGTTTACTGTTCAAACCAGACTGTGCACTTCTAGAGAGCACCGGCTCTCATGGTCTCCTAGTGTTTTGGGTTTTTCCCTTTCTCCATATCTTGCCTACAAAGGTGTTGTAGTTACATACCTGAGTCGATTCTGACTCATAGCAACCTATAGGACAGAGTAGAACTTCCCCATTGGGTCTCCTCAGCTGAAGTCTTTAGGAGCAGATCACCAGGACCTTTCTTCCACTAATTCGAACTGCCAACCTTTTGGTTAGCAGCCAAGTGTTAAATCATTACACCTCTAGGGCTCCTCTGCCTATAATGAGCTCTCCCTAAAATCTGTGTCATGACTGACATCCATGTGTCTCAGCATGTCAGGGTACAGTTTCCACCTGTGGTCCGCCATGCGCTGGTTGTCAGCGTTGGGACGTGGGCAGCATGAGGAGGACAGTGGCAATCATGGCGGTAGCTAGGACAGCCCGCTGCCTCAGGTCCGTTTGTAAGTTCAGGAAAACGGCTGGTATTTAATGGGCATTTTTGGCTTGATTCCCACATTAATTTAAGAATTCTGAAAGGTAAAAATTGACAAGTAAGAAGGTTACGCAGTATTTAGTAGCGTCTCCTTCCCCTCGTCCCTTCTCATGTGACCATTTTACATATGTTAGTAAAAATTATAGATGATGGAATGGGGGAAAGACTGAACAAGACTACTTTTAGTCTCCATCTAGTATAGAAGCAGGCTGTAGTGTGAATTGGTCAGGAAGCAGTAAAGTCCCTATACAATAATATAAGGTGTCCAGTTTGCCGCTGTTCCAGATAATTGTTAGTTGTTGGATTGTTGCTGTTGTTGTTAAGTGCCATTGAGTCGGTTCAGACTTACAGTGACCCTGTACAGGTCAGCTGGTGATCCTGAACCACCGACATTGCAGTTCAAACCGACCTTGCATTAATACTTGTGCATTATTCTGTAGTGCCACACCACAATTCCAGTTGTTGGCTAAGCATGTATATATTTTTGTAACAGAGTGTCTGATCTGGATGTGAATTTATTTCCATTAAAGTATGGAAATAAATTCACAAAGCTTAAAACACAGCCACTCTGAGGGAAAAAGATGTGGCAGGCTACTTCTGGGCAGTGATTATGGATGAGAGTTCAGTCTCAAATCTTGTCAAGTCTTGGTCCTTACTTGTGCCTTTGGCCTTGAGGATCAGCCTGTCTTTGGCCACTTGAAGTTGTTAGCCTGGCTTTACTCTGTCTGCCGTATCCACTTATAGGACAGAGTAGAACTGCCCCAATAGGATTTCCAAGGTTGTAAAATCTTTATGGGAGCAAACTGCGACCCACTGTACCACCAGGCCCCTTTGGCTTTACTGTTGGTGTTGTTAGGTTTCATCTGCTTGGTTCCAACTCATGGCAGCCCTGTGCACAGCAGAAGGAAACGCTGCCTAGTCCTGTGCCGTCCTCACAGTTGTTGCTATGCTTGAGCCCATGGCTGCTGCTACTGTATCAATCCATCTCCTTGGGGGTTCTTCCTCTTTTTCACTGACCCTCCAGTTTACCAAACATGATGTCTTTCTCAAGGGACTGGGCCCTCTTGACAGAGTCCAAAATATGAGAGACGTAGTCTCTCCATCCTCATGTCCAAGGAACATTCTGATTGTACTTCTTCCAAAACAGATGGGTTTGTTCTTCTGGCAGTTTATATCTGCTCTTGAACACTTTAAAGAGGTACAATACATCGTTTGATTTCTTGACTGCTGCTTCCATGAATGTTGATGGTGGATCAATGCAAAATGAAGTCTTGACCAACTTCGATCTTTTATCCATTTGTCATTGATGTTATTTACTGGTCCAATTGTGAGGGGTTTTTGTTTTCTTTACAGTGATGCAGCCCATACTTAAGGCTGTGGTCAGTAAGTATTTTAAGTCCTCTTCATTTCTAGCAAGCAAGGCGGTAACATCTGCAGAGCTCAGGTTGCTAATGAGGCGTCCTCCTACTCTGATCTTTCCTTATGTAATCCAGCTGCTCGGCTTTACTGGGATCACTTTATAGGGCACTTGAGAAAGCAGCACAGATCTCCTAAACAGATACAGGACTTTTCTCCTCTTCTTAGGTTGTGAGGAAAAGTGGGAGTGTTGAAGTAAGTAACTAATCAGGCTATTACCAGTAGGCCAGAAGCCATGTGACAATTGTAGCCTTGAAAAGTAGGAGTTTGAAGGAGGTCCCAGGCTGTGGAACACTCTACTATGTCTAGTTCTTGCCCCTTTTGTCATCTTCGTCATGTGTAATGGTGGTGGTGGTGGTATGCCGTGGAGTCAGTTCCGACTCATAGC